TACATATCTTATATAAAGATTAATAAATGGTAATAGTTTGTACCAGGCACACTTATCCACTCTCAAGGTGCTATAAATAATTTTATAAAAGTAATGAAATAAATTTTGGAGAAAATGAATAACATACTAGTAAACTATATGCATAAGCACTAATTGTGGTTGTTAGGTGTCATAGAGGCCAGTATGACTCATAGAGACTCTTTGAACAACTGATCTGAGACCTGTCCTATCCTGGGCCATCCTCATCTTCTCTACCATACTTGCACCTATTGCGTCAGACAATATGTCAATCCATCTCATGGAGGGTCTTCCCTTCCTTCACTGGTCTTCCACCTTTCCAAGCATCATGTCCCTTTCCAAAGAGTAGCCTCTCCTAGTAACATGTACAATGTATGAGAGAAAAATCTTTGCTATTCTTGCTTTGAGGCTTTTATGGAGGACACTGGTTGCCCTTTTCCCAAGACATATCAGGTTTTGTTGATGAGTCTTCCTCCAATCCTGGTGTCACATTCCTCCTCATATAGCCCAGTCTTCTGGATGATCTGTTCTACATATATATTTTAAAGGTATGGAGATAGGACAAATCTCTGGAGAAAGAGGGTTTGATGTATATGTGTGGTAACTTGTCTCTCTTACTTTCTTGCTTGCTCGTGTTCTCCAGCCCTCTCTCTTCCCCCCACCCCCACCCCCTGCCTTCTTTCCATGGCTGAGTCTGATCCCTTGAACTTGTTAGTCTTGTTCACAATCACTAACTTTTGGACAACCCTAAACCCAAGACAGGATTGGATCTGAATTATGACAGCTCTCAAGACAAAGTATTTGCTAATAACTTTATGGTGTATTCCAAAGTCAATGCTTTTGCCTAGAGATACCCTATTCTAGCCCATAGGCCAACCCTGCTCACCATCACTGTCTGCTAGTCTTATGTGAACTACCACGCACTTTGACAAGCATTCTCTGCCACTTTTTTGATCTGTGTTTGCCACTATTTCTCACACTCTTGAGTGTTATCAGCTCAGGTAGTGTTATTGGCTGAGTGCTACAATCCTTAACCTTTATTACAACTTTGGGGGCTCTAGTGGCCTAGTGATAAGCTGTGCTGCAATCTCAAAGGCACATGGTTGAAGTCCACAAGATGCTTAGTGGGAAAGAATGGTCAATGTCTTCCTGTGTGATTACCTGCCTCTTAAAACTCAATGAGTGTCAGCTATGAGTAATTTCTGACTCAGTGGTACACAATGACAACAGTAAGGAGAATCTCAGTCTAAGTACATATATCTAAAAGGTTTACTCCTCTCCTCGGTCTCAAAAACTTTTACAAAATTTTCTATTTCAATAGAAAGAATCCTTAGTTTTATGGTATGACATTCATAAACTAGTCGTTTAGGTAGATTATTAACCAGACATTTTAATTTAATGTGGATAGTAAACAAACCAATATCCTGTTGGTTCTTATGTGGATTGTTGCTAGGTGCCATTGAACTAGCTATAACTCATAGCAACCCTATGAAAAATAAATCAGAACCTAGCCTGATCCTTTACTATCCTCATCATTTCTGTCATCCTATGTGGATAGCAAACCCTTACAAGGTTGAGGTATTAAAACACCTAGCCTTACAAGATTGTAGATTACAAATCCTAGACCAGAATTAAAAAGAAATAAACTCACTGTGGTGTTGTCATCAAAGTTACCCCCTCTGGTCTCTAGCTACCTTAACTGTGGACAGTCTTGCAAATCATGCACAGGTGTGGGACTAGGATAAGAGAAAGAGGTGTTTACACACATAGGGTAGTAAAACTTGAGGTGAGCAAGACTTAGGGTAGTAAAACTTGAGGTGAGCAAGACTTGGGGTGGCAAGACTTGAGTTAAACTGGAGCAGACCCTGTTGGCAAGATGCTGGTGATTGTGTTGGAGAGACTCTGGCATTGCTGTGGAGAAACTGATAAAGTGTAAGCAGAGGAACGCTGAAATAAGGCCACAGTTAAAGGTGTTTGTTTTTCTTGCCAGATGCTTACAGGAGAAGCTGATTTATGCTGGATGATTTGGATTTGACAGCTAAACTGAAGCCAGATCCTGGACTATTTGAACAATTGAGTCTTGGAACTTGGGCTAAAATCTGGACTTGTAGTGTGAGATATTCTTTGCCTCCCCTACTCTCCGACATTCTTCCCTGATAAATACCTTTGTTGGAATCACAACTGTGAGTCTATGAGTCAGCAATGAATTAACGAATTAACATACCTCTTGCTGTTGTTGTGGCTCCAGAGGCACCATGAGGCTGGGTTACAGGTTCTTTATCTGCTTTCTGCTCTTAGGGGCTATGCTATTCTCATTTCCTCTGGCCCTTTCAGAGACATTCATGGTTCTATGCCTTCTAGTCTAATTTTCTCATTTTTAGACACAGTGGCATTGAATATAACTCACAGCAACACTCCACGGAATTTCTATGAAGCTATAAATCATAACATGAAAAGACTACTCATCTTTCTTCTATTTCTTAGAAACATCATCAATGCTCCGTCTTTGGATTAGCAACACTCTTAACTGTAGACCGTGTCACCAAATCTCCCTCATAGGGCCAGCAAAGCCATATTAAAAGAAAATGAAATTGGGGGAAAATGTATATATATATATACACAACAAGGGAAAACTGTGCATCATGGAGAAGAACATACATATTCTTTTGTTGCACTTCATTTAATTTTGTCTCACGAAGTTATAAAGTTTTAGTACCATCTATTGACGATCTCTAATTAAAATAAATTATTCAGTTTTTTCAATATCATTCTCCAACACCAAAATTCAAAAGTATCTATTTGGAAAAGAATATTATGTCTCATAGACAGCCAAAAGGAAAAAAAAAAAATCATCTGTCTTGTAGGAAGTACAAGAAGAGGGATCTTTGTCTCAATTCTTTGGAGACATTGTCAAGAAGGGACAGTCCTTGGAAAAGACATCATTTTGGGAAGGGTAGAGGGTCAGCTAAAGAAGGATTGGCACAGAGCCTGTAACAATGCATTTGAGAGAGATGAAGATTTTGATGAAGGTGTCGAATAGGGCAAAGTTCTACCTGTTGGACCTCTTACGATCATTGTGCATCACAGTTGACTTTATAGAACATAGCAACTACAACAATATGTTTCTATTAATTTTTTAATGTTTTCAGCCTTTAACCTCCCCAGAAAGGTATTTCTAGCTTTTATTTTATTTTTAAGCTACCTGTATATTCTGGAGGAGCTTCCTTGACCAGAGAGGATCACTTATTCTTTGGTGAGACAAAACCCTCCAGGGGAAGAGTGCAAGAATCAAAGGCATGTGAATTAAGAAAAAAACCAGAAAAAAGAATAAGATTTTTTAAAATGTAGAGTAATTTAGAAACAACTGTAATGACAGAGGAAAGCTAATTGAAGTAGAAAAAGATTTTAAGAAGTATTTCTGAGGATTACATGTTCTCTTCAATTTCACTAAGAGCTATAATTAAAGAAACTTATTTTGAAATAATTTTTTGGATTTTTTCTTATTGTGTTATTTTGACATAACTTCCAGATTAGAACAAAGAGAACCAGCTTTAAAAATAGACTTTTGTTGGCTTGTTTATTCACAGTTTAAAATTCTCACTTAATAATTTTGAATTATTTCAAATAGGATAATAATTTTATTTTATAATTTACAATACTTTGTACATGTTAATTCACATAGAGATATTTTTCACATTATCTGTAATTTTTGGATTTGTTGTTTTAGGTACTGTAGAGTCAACTATGACTCAAAGTGACCCTGTGGAAAGTAGACTGAAACTTTCCTTCTTCCTCAAGATCTCTGCCATCCTCTACTCCATTGTTTCAGACTCAATGGCAGTCTACTTCACTGATAGCTTACAAAATGACCTAAATTACTTGCATCTCTGGATATAGTCCACTTTTTAATATGGCTTTGCTGGTCTTCTCATTAAGAGGCAAACTCTATTTTATCATGCCTTTCTTGTCTTGATCAAGAAAATTGCTTTAATAAATTACCTTTTGCAAATTCAAACAGAAACTTGAAACATTTCCCTTCTTTCTTAGTAAGAATCCTTCTAATAAGTGAACACACATAAATTAGAGGCATAGATCATAGTGTGTTAGCTTGCTAACCAAAGGTCAAGTGTATTCTACAATTTGAATCCATCAGCAACTTCATGTAAGATAGGTGGGCTCTCTCTTCCTATTCAGATTTATACTTTTGGAAACTGATAGAAGGTCAATATGACTCTGCACTGACACAATGGTAAAGCTTATGGTTTATAATTTTGCTTTGGGGAATGTGTTTAGCCTATTAAAGGCAACTCTAAACAACTCACTGACATTAAGTTGGAGTTGACTCCTTTGGGTTTCCAGGGCTGTAAATTGTACAAGAGAAGATTGTCTATCATGATCGGGGAGAGTGGCTAGTCTATTCAAAACACCAGAGATGTGCTGCCTTTAGTTTAGCAGTGCAATTCCTTATGGACTAAGCCACCAGAAGGCAGAGAAGTCATCTTCAGAGATTCATCCAGCACAGAGAAAAAACAGAAAATACTGTCAAGCCACTCCAGGAGGAAGGGGGAAAAAATTCTATTTAGAGAAAATATGTTTGAAAGGCACAAGGTTTTACAGAAGTTAACTCAAAATACTGATAGTTTATATGAATTTATATTATATATAACTAAATACAATCTTTTAAAGTATATTAATGTAAGAAGGTGAGTCAAAGAAAATTTTAGCTACACTTTTAAGTTTGCTGTTCTAGCTCTGAAAGTTCTTAGCCTAGATAATAAATACACTCACACCTAACTGCAGCAGTGAACTCAAGTGTAAAAAAGATTGTGAGAATGGCACAGGATAGGACAGGGTTCAGGTTTGTTGTTCATAAGGTCTCCGTGGCATACATGACTTGACAATCTCTAACAACAACAACAATTTATACCTATTTTTTTAGTATAAGAAATATCATGAACACCCAGACAAAATGGAACAAATACCTAATGGTCTTTCCTGGGTCTGCTTCTATAATCCAAGTGCAGTGAAGATTATTGTCGTAAGGAGCTGGGTAACCAGGGGACAATATACGCCCTGAAGTGGCAACATGGATCCGACCACCACATTCCGCTGTAAAATATTTAGAAAATGTGAAAATTAATTTTATGTATTACAGTGCATAGCATTATTTAAAACTATTTAAAGTTTTTTAAGCCAAACCAAGTTTTAAAGCTTTTAAAAACAATCATTTCTACATTTTATATACATAAAATTATTATATAAGTTCTCTTCATTAATCTCTTTATTTTTCCCAACCAATACTCTGATAACAACTCTATGTAATTGAAGTTGAGAAAATAGAACATCAAAACACCCATGTTTTAATCATAACAATAAAATAGTATATATTTTAAATACAATTATACTAAATCCCCTGTCTCTAATACTTGAAAAACATGTCACAGACATTCAGAATATGGAGAAACATAAACTGGAAAAACTGAATTTATACATATATAAATTATATATAATTATATATATTTATATTTATATATATAAATATATATATGAATTTATATATGAATTTATATATATATATATATATAACTTGTTATTGTTTTTTATTACTGTAGGGTCAAGCACAGCTCATAAAGACCCTCTGAACAAAAGACCTGAACCCTTTCAATAACTATCATAATTTTTAAAAGTTCATAAAGTTTCCAGAGGCATGTTGTTTAGGAAGTAGATGCCACTCCTGCTTCCAAGTATGTCTTAATCTGGGAGCTCCACCAAACACTGTCCCCCATGGGTAACCTTTATGGCATTCAGTACTCCAGTGACACAGAATTCAGCATCACAGCACCACAACCATTCCGGGCTACTTAATCACAGCAAATACACACACACACACACACACACACACACACACACACACACGTATATATATGTATATGTGTGTGTGTATATACGTGTATATATGTGTATACACATGTATATATGCATATATATGTATGTGTATATATATGCATATATATGTATGTGTATATATATGTATGATATGTGCACACATGTATTGCCCTCTTTGAAAAGCTTTAAGTAAAAAAAATAGGTAGCTATTGTTTTAGACTAAATTTTTGTACAATAATCTAAACTGGTTCTCAAACTTACCTATGCAAGATGGCAGTGGTTTATCCCAGACCCTTCGGTCTCCACTCAGGCAGGTGAGCGTGCTGCTGCCATGCATGGCATATCCTGGATTACAACTGTATAGAACCACTGTGTCAGTGAAGTGGCCTTCATCTCTAATCTTATATCCATAGTTAGGGATGCCTGGATCTTCACATTTTACTAGATCAAAACCTATGAGGAAGGAAAAAAGGAAATATGTAACTAAGAATGCATGTGAGCATTCAAATAAAGGTGAAATACATTGAGTTGTCTAATTTTCTTTAAAGTATATACATGAAAATATTTTCATTTAAAAAGAATGGTATAAATAACAAACTTTGTTTTTGGTTGTATCAGTCAACATTATATTGTTTCTTCAAACTTGATAACCATACTTGTTCCTATCTCTTTACTTAATAGGAAAGGGTGGTGGAATGGTCTTTAAGGAGTTAACACTACCGACCCAAAGCTGCATGTGCTTCTCTGGCTATGCAATTCTATCAGTGACTTCTCAGGAGAAAAACTGGCAATCTAATTTAATGAGATTTACAGCCTCTGAAACCCAGTGGAGGGTGTAATCTGACTCAATGCAATGAGATGATGATATATTGGTTTATATATCAGAGTCGTAGATAGCGTACATAGCACAACTTCTAGCTAAATGCTGAAACTCTGAATTCATCCAGAGACTTCTAAAAAAAAAATCTGCTTCCACTAAATTATGCACTGAATACCCTAAAGAATATGATGATACTCTGGCACACGTGGGATTGTCATGGACCAGAATTGACTCATGTATATGTTTTTCACTCATTATTTCCATATTAAGAATGCCTTGTTGTGTTGTCTAGTCAGAAACAATCTATAACTGACTCTTCAGTGGGTTTTCAGAGGCTGTTAATTCTAAAAGAGGTGATTATACATCTTTCTCCTGAAGAGCAAATGATGGATTTGAACTACGTTTCTTTGGGTTGATAGTGCAACTCTTTATCTACAAATCTATATTAAGACTGTTCTCTAAATAGATGCAAATTATCATTCATTAGACCAGTTATAATCTACAATTTCAATTGATATGTTGAATTTTTATAGTAAATGCCATAGTCTGGGGTTTTTGTTTTGTTCTATTTTTATTAATATTTTAAATTTTTTAATTGTTTTACATCTTTTCCACCCTACACTCCCCAACAACCCTCCTCACAATGCACCTCTTGTCTATTGACATTTCATTGTCTTATTAGATATTCCTTTCAGGCAGTTCTTCCATTATCTGATCTGGTACTATTCATTATCTATCCACCCTTTTCCCATTCTTTGCCAAAAGTGGAATTTCTAGGTCAAATGATATTTCTATTTCCACCATTTTGAAAAAGCCCCAAATTACTTTCCATAGTCTCTGTACTACTCTTGGTATTTCTATAGTTTGGGGGCTTTAAAACATCTTTTTTGTTCTACTGGTTATACTGTGGTACATTCACACAATGCGATACTATGCAGCACTCATGAGCAACAATTTTGAAAACTACTATATAACTTGGGAGAAGAGCATTATGCTGAGTGAACTAACACAGTCTCATAAGGACAAATACTGCATAAAACAATTATTGTAAAAATAGAAGGATAACTATTAAAACTTGTATGAGGATCCAAGAGGGGAAGGAAAGAGAACAGACAGGTGATAATAGGTAGAAGGGAAATCACATGTTTGCACAATTTAGTTGGTGGAGGGATGGAGAAAAGGAAATGGAGAAGATCTAGAGGGACCTGAAAACACACGGTAATGATTGGCATAGTCCAATGGTAATTAATTTAATAAAACATAAGTCTGCTGTCAAGGACATCTCCAGAGTAGTCAAAAGCAACAATATCTCTGTGGAGATTATGGTGCACCTGATCCAGGCCATAGTCTTCACAATTACGTTCTATGCTTCAGAAAGCTGGGCAGTGACTAGGGAATATGGAAGGAAAATGGATGCTTTTGAAGTGTGGTGCTAGAGAAGAGTACTGAATATACTATAGACTACTAGGAAAACAAACAGGTTCATCCTAGAGAGAGTGAAGCCATGCTGTGCCTTGGAAGCCAAGATTCTGAAGTTTCATCTGATATACTTTAGACATGTTGCAACAAGGGACAAGTCCTTGGAAAGGGATATCATGCTTGGGAGGGTGGAGGGACAGCACAAGAGAGGAAGACCCTCAATGAGATGGCTGGGGTAATGGGAGTAGGTATGTCAGGAGACATTAAGGTTGACTCAGGATAGAACAGGGTTCAGAGCTGTTGTACATAGGGTCTATATGAGTCACAGGCCAATGAATGGCACATAACACCACCACCACCAAATTAATGGAAATGACTATATGAAACACAATGTGAATTAAGAATAGTGGGAAACACAGTCTCCTAGTCTTAACTGACTATACTTAGCATTTCTGTTACTTTTAAATCTTCTTTCACACAACTTGGCACATTTGAGAGGGTGGAATACACCGTCTAGTGCTACTGATATGTTTTCAGCCATTTTCTACCATTGCCTATTCTAACTCAAGATCAAGTGTACTGAGCCTTCATACCAACATCCCAAAGCTCAAAGACTTTAAGATTCATAGGAAATTAAAAAGTTGTTCCTGACTACAAAGGACTGGAGAGTCATGAATTACCTCCTGCCACGTACTTCATGGTACACAGTTATGAGGCTCTCAAGCAACTCCGTGCACAGTACAAATTCCGTAAATGAATCACTGTAATGACTTCATCAAACTACGCTCTTAAATTCAAAGATATAGATGACAGAAATGAAAATTTAAATCCTGCAGTACTGAAAGCTGTATATTGCTTTTATGTGAGGTCATATTTTAAGGTCATCGGTGAAGATAGTACTACAGTAACGTTTCTAATTTCACATCATGATGCAAATATTGATCATTAAAAAAATTGAAGTATCACATGGTATATTTTTTTCTATTTCCATCTGAGTTTCTTTAGTTAAAAACAAACAAACAAACAAACAAAAAACCGAAATATCAATTTGATATTTTCTACTCAGTTCCTCACACTTTGATTTTGAGATAACTTTCAGTAGGAAAATTCATGGTTAACAATAAAACTGTACACTCTTGATCTCTAAAAATCAGATTGGGTTTGCAACTATTGTATATAGAGAAGAGAGTATAAATTTGATGATTTTCATAAAGAAAGCTAAAGAAGCTTTATATCTATAAAATGCGAACATTAGATTTACCAGGGATGTCTTTACAATAAACCTACTGGATTTAAAAGAAATAAAATGAATTTCACTTCAAGATGAAAATACATAAAAATATAAAATTATATCAATTTTGCCCTTTCCGCTACCAACAAAGTTCATAAAGGTGAAGTAAGAATTAAAAAAGATATAATAAGAGTCTTGATTCCAAGGATAGCAATAATATCAGGTTACATTTAATCAGTCTTCACAGTGTCAACACAAGTGGAGAAAAAAAAATCTATTATATAAATTATAACAACTATTGACAATAAGGGTAGCAAAGGAGCTCTGGTGGCCTAGAAGCTGCTCCATAATCCCAAAGTACAGGGTTCAAGGCCACTAGCTGCTCTGCAGAAGATGGATGGGCAATTTCCTCTAATGAGACTAACTGCCTCTGAAAACTCACCAGAGGGTCTGATATGAGTCAGTTCTGGCTTGATGGTACACAACAAGGGACCTTAAATGTCCTCTACCTCCTTTAACATCCTCAAACACTTAAAGGTTCCCCTAGTTTTAGCTCTAATATGGGTAATAAAGATATTTTATTGTTTTCATGATTATTGGTTTGATTGACTTTGGGGTTTGAAGAAGACAACAAACATGGGAGCTAAGAGATTAGTGAAGAAGTGATGTTCATCAGCTGTTTTTTAACTAGGAAATCAATGATAAATAACATCTCTAGGGATCATTTTGGATTCCAATTAGATATGTTGAATATCAAGTGTCAATGAGAATAAACTGAAAACATTTAATCCAGTTATATGAAATATAGACAAAAAAGTAAAAAGAAAATACTTATTATTGTTGCCTTGTTACTGTTAGTTCCCATTGAGTTGACTTTGATTTACAGTGACTTAAAAAATAAACAGCGGTATTGTCTGATTTGTGCCATCTCTAAGATCACTGGGTTAATGAAAAACTCTGCAAAAGCTATAATCTCAAGTGCCAATGGGACCCTGAAAATCCTGTGATAAAGAAAATGTCCTATGTGACAATCGGAATGTGAAAAGTGATGAATGTGACAATTGCATTGTGGATTGCTAACTATTAAAAGCAGAATCTCAGGGGTTACCACAACCTGTCATATTAAAATCCACACTATCAGGAACTCAGTGTTTTATTTTTCAAGGGATACTAATTGCATGGAGGTTAAGATTTTAAAACTGCTGATTAGGTAAGTATTTTGAGAGTGCAATTTTATAAAATATTATATTATTAAATCCAAGTGTAACAGATACAAAAAACCTAGATAATTTAGCATTTGTTTTAATTGCATAAATGCCCGGCATCATTTACACTTGTCAAGCGGTGATAAAGGCTTCATTCAGACTAAAATGAAATAAATGTGATATATTTCATGTAATGCTTTTAAACTAAGCTTTGGAACTCCTAATCAGGAATGATTTAAGCTAGGAAGTGGTTCAGTTAATTTACCCACGAATTTACATTTTGGAAATATATGTTTTTCTTGTGGCTAAACAGAAGGATATTGGATAACATTGTTTTTATAACAAATATTAATAAAACAATTATATTGGTGTATGTTGATTAAAAATGGCATAAAATTCCTTCTGTGGATTATGAATTGTCCAATTTGTTTAGAATTATGAGTTCTGTGGATAATTTACTATATTGTTATTGTTACATCCCATCGAATCACCTGTGATTCACAGCGAACCTAAATACAACATCGATAAACCCTGTTCTATCCCGTGACAACCTTATTGTCTCTGACACACCTACTTCCATACCCCATCACTGAATCAATTTATTTCATCAAGGGTTTTCCTCTCTTGTACTGTACCTCTACCTTGCCAAGCATAATGTCCCTCTCCAAAGACTGGACCCTCCTTGCAACATGTTCAAAATATGTCAGATGAAGCTTCAGAATCCTTGCCTCAAAGGGGCAGCCTGTTTTCACCCTCTCCAGAATGAATATGTTTGTTC